AACGGTTCATTGAACCGTTAGCCAAGTGAAAACTAAGCTTAGGATGTGACGCCAAGCTTTTTTTGTGTTCTTGTTTCTCTTTTCTTTTCTTCTTAGTGTTTGTTTCTCTATGTTTTTTTCCTCTTCCTATTTTTCGCCCCATCCTTTTCCATCTCAAACGCCGACTGAAGTGCAAATGCACTTGAATATTTTATGAGCGTGCTGTTGCTGCTGCTTTTGCAGCATAATGAAAGCTTTTTCTTCTACCAGTGTCTGGCATGCATGTAATTACCCTCTCAACCCGTTGCTTTTACCGTGGGAGGACCAAGGAGAATGAACCTCGACGAAACGAAACACTCAACTTGTTGAAACTCGACTGTAGAACAAGGTGCAAGCAAGCAAGGTACAAGGTAGGTATGTATAGCGTATCCTTGCTAATTTTATTGACAGCCATCTATATTTGGGTCGCTCTGATAGATGCGGGCAGGCAGCACCTTCGTCAGGCCCATACCACCTTCGCCCATCGAAGCCAAGCACCTATCCAATCAACGGCGAGCGACCAACCCACATCACATCCCGTCACATCCATTCACATCATACACTCAAATAGGCTTTTGGCCTATTTTTAAGGTGTTTCAAGTAAACTGTGCTGTTGAAAAACGCTTCAGCCTGGCTGTACAGCGTGTGGGCTGGCTGTGTGTGTGTATTCCCCCATCGCATTCCTTTTGTTCTTTTTCCGCAGACGACATATTTAGATGACCATATTTATAGATCATTATTGGAACAACAATCTGTCATGACTGTATGAGATTCTAATTTAATAGACAGCCAAATATGGCCACAAATATGCGGAACAGCCCAAGCGAATTATAATGAACGCTGTAAGTTTGTGAATTTCCAAGGAAGAAGAAAGAAGGAAAGTTCTTAAAGTTCACTTTATTATTTAGGGGTCACTCCCATAACCAATTCCAATACAAACACAATTGTTGTAAAGCAATACAAGAGATTAAATCACAGATTTATGTAAAATGAGAAGAAAACCAACCAAAGCAAGCCAAACCAAACCGAGAATCGTTGCATTAATTTATGCAAATGTAAATCCTTCTCCGCCAGACTGTTAAACGGCCTTACGCCTCAATTGAATTGTTCATTCACAGGACAACAGACAACAGACATATATATCCACTGATGCGGATCGCGGCATTGAAAATTATTCGAAAATTTGTCTTTTGTTATAATTTGTATGTAGTATATACCTTGTACATATATTTTTTTGACAAGTTTCTTCTGTTTCTGTTGGCGGGCAAGGTCTTGTCGAGAGATAAGGAGGGGCAGCGGCAACATTTGATAATTAATTTAAAGCAAATAAAACAAAAACAAAAATAATTCATATGAAATCAAGAGCACATGCACATACAACGCTTATCTAATCAAAATGTTTGCTATCTCGAAGAGAGAAGGGGCCAGGCCACATTATGATATCATTCTCGATTCGAAGCGGCAACTCCAACGGCAAACAACAAATTCTCGACCTTCAGCATATTTATGAAGCTTTTTTCTTCAAGTCAGCGACAGCTGGGAATTAAAGCTAAATAAAACTAAAATGGCACGTGATATAATAGGTCTATACTTGTGCTTGTGAATATCTTGAGAAACACCTGCCGGACAAGGGGAAACTCCCTCAGTATTGCAGCATCCAAATCTTTGTTCTTTTTGTGCTTTTAAGGGTTGGCCCTTTGTTTAACCCCCAGAATGTGGTTCAATGAACCCCCCATCATATCAGCTATAGAGATGAAATCTCCATGTACAGAACTAGCGTGGTTGACCTTTATCGATTTAATGAAAATAAGCAAATTTTGTATCTCGTTTGCGGTGATACAATTGCTCTCATTTATTTCCTATATATGGGAAATACTTATCCCCTGAGGCATTTGAAAATCATTTTGCACGCAGTCTCCTACTCATATAAGCCGTATATAATATTATTTTGTTCAATAATTATGCCCATTTGCAGTTCTCGGGATTCTGCATCTGTTGTGTGTCTGTCTCGTGTATCTCGCAGCATTGTAAGCAGGTCGACATTGGTATACGCTTTTGGGATAACTAGAAATAACTGGGGAAAACCCACTCTTTTTATAAGAAGGGTTCTTCTTTCCGTTTCAATTTTAGATACATTTCCCAACCAATTAAATGTCACTGTGCACTATGCTCGAGCACTTTGAACCCGTTTCGCATTTGTTTCTTTAACGTTTTGCTGTTATTTATAGATCTGCCAATTAATGAATAAAATGATAAACTTTTCGAGCAAGGGCGGATGGGGAATAAAGGGCATTAGAGTGAAACAAACAAAAAATTAAAAAGAAACAAAAGCGAGGGGGAAAAATGCTCTGTCTGTACAGAATACATACATACATTTGTATGTGTGGTGGGAATAGGGGTGTCGTTGGGGCTGCAGGTTGTGTGCGTGAGTAATTTGGCTTTAAAGACCTTGAGAAAATTGAAAAATCACAGCAATACAGCTAAAACAGCGAGAAATGAGATACTACGAGAGCGTTGCTCATAAAAACCATATAGATAGGTTTATACAAACATACATTATGTATGCATGTGAGTGGAAAATATATATGTATGTCTATATAAATATTTATACACGGTGAGGCAAAAGCACTTAGGCGGCGGTGGCGGTGGCACCCACTCTGAAATTTTGTATTAAAAAAGGAAAAACATATTTCAACTGTTGCTCTGCTCTGCCGGTCTGCTTCTAATGCTGGGCTCTTCACACCCACACACACGCACGCCTGGACAGACCAACACAGCTGTGGTGACGTCTCCGTCTCTCTCCCATCCCTCTCAGCCACGCCGTCTGTTGCTTTAAGCTCAACAAGTATGGATGAGAAAACTGCCCCCAAAGACCCTATTTGGGAGCAACAAATGCAGTGGGAACTTGATTTAAACAAGAAATCAGCTTTAAACTAAATTTATGATGTGAAAAAGCCATATTGATTGGATTTACAGGTAAAGAGAAAGAAAATACTTTTCATTTGCGCTAAATTGGCAGCCCCGTCGATCAAAAGTGGGCAAAGCAGCCAGCGAAAGAGACGTCAATTAACACCTAACCGCAATTCGTACACATTTGTAGATATTTATACATGTACATCGGTATGTATATTTTTTACTGTACACACAAATATGGCTTTGTACATACGCGACCGCAGATTAGATTAAATTTGTTATTACTTTAAGGCGTTCATCGCGGTTTTTTGCACTCGGGCCCCACCCCGCCTCCACTGCACTTAGCTGTTGTTCATAGTAGCCCAAAGCTTATTCCCCATATTTACAGCAAGAGTGTGGTTGGAGGCTCTCTCTATCTCTCTCCCTCTCTGCTTCTCACATTCATTCATTCATTCTCGCAACTTTTAAGCTACACTTTTTTTGTTCGTCTCACGCTTTTGTTTGTTTGTTTGTTTGCATCACTAGAAAAATAAGAAATAAAACTAGTTGTGGGGCTCCTCTCCATACCGGTTTCCCTCTTTTATAAGCATTTCTCAGTGTTTTTTCCGTTTTTTTCTGCTGCTGTGCAATTTAATTGGCAGTTTCTATTGTTGGACTTGGGTCGCGCGCTTCTCCGAAAGTAAACACGCAAAGGGGAAAGGCAAATAAAAGCCTTTCGTGCAATCTACAAAGGCCATGACGTCACACGCATGACAAAGACGTCATCAATAGATTACAGGTGGAAGTCGGGGGGATTGTGGGTTGAGTGGGGAGGTAGAGTTGCAACTGCGTCGCAAATAATTCGATAAATACAAACGAAGCTAGCAAGTGGTTAGATCATTCACAGTAGACAAGAGCAAATGTGAAGAGAGACATAGAGAGAAAAAAGTGAATACCAAAAAGGGGGCGACATACATACATCCATGTGTACATTAATACATATATGAAAGGTCACTGGGGTGCGGGGACAATTGTCCTTTGGGGCCGATTTCATCGTCTTTGTTGTGACGCCTTTCGATTATTGATGACTCACGGAGACGACGACGACAACTGGCTACTACAATGCGTCGTCGGTCTCATTTTTATTTTTGTGGTTTTCTTTTTGCTCACCTTTATCATTCGGATAACTGGGATAAACATTCAGTTGCTCATCATCGCGGGACACTTGTGTGATTATTGATGTTGCATCCATTTAAGCACACAATTTTGGATGTTATGTTGCCTGGCTGGCGTGCAAAAGGTTGCAACTCTCTCTCACTTCGGTCTTCTTGGCAGGTTGAACTCTGGGGGCACGCTGCAACGATGTGGGTTGGCAATCATTAAAAATCACTCGAATATAATTACGTTTTCTCTTTCGCACTCATTAATTTTCTTGAGAAACTTCCATGTTTTCTTTATATAGAAACACTTGCACACTCACACAACCGCACCACACACATTATTTTATATACATAGCACACACACTGGCACGCACACAACAGCAGGCTGTGCGGCTGTCTGTCCCAGACAGTGGAATTTTACAATTACGCTTTGGCAGTCCATTCGCTTTGATGGTTTTCCCCCCTTTGATATTCACCTCTCGCTTCTTACAGAATGCACTTTCAAAAATTGATATTCCTTTTCGTATCGTATGCTAAAAAACACTTTCTTTCCCGTTGCTCATTCTTTTTATTTTTCTTCGCGTCTGCTTTTCGCACGCAGCTTCTCAGCGTTTTATTTATAAACGCATACACGCACACTCACACTACACTCCACACACAAGCACAGCACACGCACGCAGACACAATTCCTCGACTGCTGTTATTTCGATCTCGTTCTTTAATTTTTTGCGTTCGTGTTGCTCTTTTGCATCTTATTTATTCAATCTAATTATTTAATTAATAAAAACAAAACGTGTACGGACGAAAAAAACCAAGATTGAAAGCGACGTGCGACACGGCCAGTGTGACCGCAGAATTGTTAATGAAAAATCCCTGACCATACATAGCAAATTGGTGTTTAAATATACCAAAAATGTATATGTCGGTATATAAGAAAGTTAGGTTCTGAAAATGGTCACACTTGGCTATTTTGTTGTTACGCGAGCGACTTTTTTGCTTTCATTTCTGGCTAAAATTATCAAAGAAATTGGCTAAAATGTTGGCTCTACGCAGCTCCCAGAGACTGGGCTTACGGTAAGCTATAATTTGGAACTATTCACCTGCTAAGAATCATTAAATTTGCTGGTTTCAATTCAGATCTTTGCTGCCGGCTGTCTACAAAAACGTGGGATTGACCAACAGCTACTCCTCCTCCTCGCAGTCCAAAGACGACGACGGCGGCTACTCCTCTGACGATGAAAAGCCGAAGAAAAAGGCACCCAAGAAGGTAGAGGAGACAGCGGCCCAGCGCTTGAACCGCCTGCTTGGCAGCATGCAGGCCACAGACCAAATGTCGGCCGCAGATTTTCCACGTCCCGGCGAAGCCAATCGTCGTCGCAAGGAAGCCTTGAAACAGGATGCTGCATCCAAAAATGTCCTAACGGCAGCCAAAAACATTGCCAGCATGCTGGGTACCAGCGAGAGTGACAAAAAGCAGACAGAGTCCGAGCTGCTGGCCAAACTGTTGGGTCATGGTGCCGCAGCTCCTCCAGCAGCGAGTGGCGAGGCACAGGCGTCAGACCCAGCCAGTGGAGGTGCCGCACCCGAGAAGGAGCTTAATCTGAGGTGAGTGTGCAAACGCGTTGAGATTATCTCATCCCAAGTCTGCTTGCTCTATCTTTTTCCAGCGAACTTATTGTGGGCATGAAGATCGATCGCCGCCAGCAGCCACAGCAGGTGGAACAGACACGTGGGGAGTATGTGCGCCGCACCATGGCCTCGCGCTCCAAGCATTCGGATCGCTATCAGCAGCGTCCGCAGAGGCACACCAAACGCGAGGCAGAATCCTTCACGGGCAGCGTCAATCTGTTTGGCGGCGAGCCACTGGGCATCTTCAAGGAACCCCTTCCGATCTCAGGCGACATTCTCTCCACCTGGTCGCAGCTGAGTGAGCGCGAACTCAGCCTCCATGCTGCCCATCCGCCGGCAAACTACTTCGAACAGATGGTCCTGTGGACGGAGCAGGGCAAGGTCTGGCGCTTTCCCATTGACAACGAGCAGGATTGGGTGGATGAGGTGAATGTGGACTTCTCGGAGCACATCTTCCTCGATCAGCATCTGGAGGACTGGTGTCCCAGCCGGGGGCCCATTCGGCATTTCATGGAGCTCGTCTGCGTGGGTCTCTCCAAGAATCCCTACGTGACGGCCCAGGAGAAGAAGGATCACATTATGTGGTTCCGGGACTACTTTGAGACCAAGAAGGACATCCTCAAGGATCTGATGGAGAACGAGCCCAGCGTCAAAGTCAAGAGTGTATCCGCATAAGCACCGTCGTATTGTTGGAATATTTGTTAAAAATATATTTTTTGCTTTATAAGACGCGCGTTCAAGAGATATTTGTGTAGATATATAATCGTATATATATGTGTGTGTGTGGAGAGTCTGTTATATATCCTGCAGGGTGTGGGGTATATATAATCCTAATACTTTTTACTCCTGTGCCATTCGAGACGTGTGCGGCTTCGGCTGAGTGTGCGCGGAATGTTGTACGTGTGTTGCCGGAAAGGGGCTTCGGCTTCAGAAGAGCAGGATACGTTTCTCCACCGTCTTGCGGCAGATGGGGCAGCCCTCGATCTGGTCACCGCACATCTGGCAGGTGCCGTGGCCACACAGGAAGACCATATTCTTGATGCGATCAAAGCAAACGGGGCACATGGTCTGCAAAAATAACAGAACAAAACATAGAATTAATCTCTCTGCACTCCCAGTGGCACTCCTCTTTGAGACACTCACCTGCTCTTTGATGTCCTGCAGCTGCTGCTTGAGCTTCTGCACATCGTCCATTTGGAAATTGTTGACATTGGAAGGCGCCACCATGCCGCTGGCAGATGCCAGATTCGAGGAGGCAGCTGCTGCAGCGGCTAGCAAATTGTTCTGGCTATTCAACTGATTGCTGCTGCCTGCCACGGGCGTCACCACAGTGTTGTTCATGGCCACGCTGTGGCCGGAGGTGTTCACGCATGGTATGGCCGCTGCCTCCATAAACTTCTCCCCCACTTCGGGCAGAGGGCAAATGAGCTGTGAGACGGCGGCGGTGGATGTAACCTTCTCTGGCCGCCCCATGCCGCCACAGCAGAGGCTGAAGGAGAGCATTTCGTCCACTTGGGTGCGACAGAGCACGCACTTCTTCATGAGAACGCTGCAGTGCTCGCATGCCACCATATGGCCGCAGGGGCGGAAGAAGACGGCCGCCCGACGATCCGAGCAGACCATGCACTCATCAATCTTCTCGCGCGAGGACACTGTTTCGCGGCAAATGAGGCACTTCTTGACGCGCGGTGCACACGTGTCGCAGCAACTGACGTGGCCGCAGGGCTTGAAGACTGTGTCCCGCTTGGCATCCGAGCAGACCATGCATTCCTCTATGCTGGCGCCGCCCGACTTAGAGGGCTCCACGTGCAGGGACTGACTCATGTCCGAGTTGAGGCCACTCAGGCCGAACGACGAAGACGAAGCTGAAGTGGAGGCCGCGTTGGCTAGCGGCAGGCTGGCCGAAGACGATTGATGCATTGCAGCTCCACCAGAGGCTCCTCCTCCAACGCCGCTGCCGCTGCCGCTGGCACCTGCCCCACCAGCTGCTGCTCTGGCTCTGGCATTCAGGCTGGTGCCGGCAACATTTCCGGGCAACTCCGAGTCATCGGTCTTGCGCTCGTTGTAGCACTTGACGAGAGTCTTGCAGAGATTCGGATCTGGGCACAGGTCCAATGGCGTTTGCTGCTTGCGATTCTTGAGCGTTAGATCGGCCCCGTTGGCGGCCAGAAAGCAGGCAATCGAGGCCGAGGCCTTCTTGTTGTTGGCATTGCGCAGGCCCATCAGCAGCTTGCCGAAACCCTCCACATCCTGCAGCTGCTTCAGCTGCGACAGTGTGTGATGGCGCAGTGCCTCGTGCAGGGGCGTGTCCCCATCCTTATCGGGTATATTCAGATCAGCTCCATCCTGGACGAGCAGCTTGACAATCTGCACATGCTGCCGCTCCACGGCCAGATGGAGGGCCGTCTGTAGGTTGACATTCTGCCTGTCCATGTTGGCCTTTCCCATGTGCACCAGCAGCTCGGCGATCTCCACGTGATTGTTGAGTGCGGCCAGATGCAGGGCCGTGTAGCCATCGTCCTTCTTCTCCTCAACAATCCACGGACGATTCGTTTTGGTCAGCAGTATCTTCATGGCGCTGGGATTGCCCTTCAGAGCTGCGTGATGCAGTGCATTGAAGCCATTGTTGTTGTTCAGCGTGATATCCGCCCCAAAGTCCAGCAGCAGCGACAACATCTCATCGTGCTCCTTCGAGATGGCGTCATGCAGCGGCGTATCTCCCTCGGAATCTTGCAGACTCGGGTGACAGCCCAGTGAGAGGAGCGTCTTCACCACATTCAGGTGCCCCTTGTTGACGGCTATGTGGAGGGAGGTCTGCCGTCGCTTGTTGCGCGCATTCAAGTCAGCTCCTGCCTTTGCGAGAATCTCAATGACTGCCGCCTCATCGCCAAAGGCCGCATGATGGACAGCCCGATCGCCGTCCTTGTCCTCGATCTCTACATCGACGGCGTGTCGCAGAAGCACTTGTATGACCTCGATATGACCATTCTGGCTGGCTGCCTGCAGGGCCGTGTGGCCGGCAAACACGCCATTCACATTCACATCTGGGCCAGAGGCGCTGGGCGAGGCGCTCGATGTGGATGGCTGTTGGCCAGCTGCAGCTCCAGCCAAGTACTCCTCGCAGCGGGCCTGAAATGAGAACATGAGGATTAGAATTTGCAGCTTGTTTGGTGCCGGATTGTGGCTATACTCACTGCAAATCCATTGGCAGCCGCTTTGACAAACTCCTCGGTGGCGTCGCCAGAGACATTCGGTTCGAAAAGCTTCTTGAGTATGGCCGAGAGACGCTCGCCACTGGGTATGACCGGAGCACAGTTGCCGTCGGCTGTGGACGAAGCCACCTTGCAGACGGCCAGGGGATTGTACGTCCAGGATGTGTTGCCCACCTCCACCTTGAGGTCATTGTCGTGGTACACCTGCTGAACGCGTCCAATCTTGCCCAATGTCAGCTGCATGGCATCGGCCCATTCGCCGTGGCCGCGTTGCAGGATCTTAATGCTCTCCACATCCGAACAGATCTTGACAATGTCGCCCACCTGGAACTCTGGCGGAGCGGTGGTCGGGGAGGAGACCTTGGTGAGGACAGCCGGATTGAAGGTCCAGCGATTGCCCGAATTGTAGGCCACCACAATGTCGTGATCCTCGTCGATGCCCACGACCATGCCGGCATTGCTGAGGCACTCGAACATGCCGTCTGTCCAGCCACCGTGGCCATGCTGCAGAGACTGGACAATCTCGAGGTCCAAGTCCACGGTGACTTTGTCCCCAATCTGGAAGCCATGCGGTCCCTTGCCGGGCCCATTCTCACCCAGCAGCGGCAGGTGATCTCGATAGACATTGCTGCCCTTGGCATCGTTGACGACCTTCAGGTCGGCCATGCCCTCGAAGCCAACGCGATAGAGATTCTTGGAGCCGTTGTCCCAGATCACGTAGGCAGCCGATCGGGGTGAGGCCGAGGACCAGTCCTGGATCTCATTGACCTTTCCGCGGCGACCCACGCCACCGTCCTGGTCCTCCCATTGCCAGTCGACGCCACGCACCACACGTGCGCCCGGGAAGATGCCCCTGGCCAGCACCTTCTTCGATTTACGACGCGGCTCAAGCATTGTGCGTTCCCCGCCAGGTGTCGTAATCCTATAGAAGCGATGCCGCAGATGATGCTTGTCGCCGTGATAACAGATCGAGCACAGGTCGTAGTTGATGCACTCGGCGCACTTCCAGCGTATGCCGAAGATCGGCTGCTGGCGACAGGTATCGCACATGGTCCCCTCATGCTTCACGCCCGTCGGGGCACTGTCCAGGATTCGCAGATCGTAGGCTCCAGCGCAGCGATAATTGGCAGCGGTGCCATTGTCCCAGACAACGACCACCTCCTCGGCGGACTCAAAGTTGCGGACAGTGCCAACGTGACCCTCGCCACCGTCCTGCAAAAGGGAAAATAAGAGAGAATTTCACGATTAGTCACCGTCTTTCGATGCAAATTTTGCGACTGAAACCCACGGCTACTACGATGCGAAAATTTCTGTTGAAGTGCATTATCGCAACTAACAGTTAGGGTAGGCAGTCGCCCAGCCTCTAGGGGCTATCTGTGGGCTATCTGCCGGCGAATCGATGGGTCGAAAATTATCTCGTCATCGCACAGTGGTTGAGGCTGTGCCAAAAGTGTCGATCGGAGTGGTTTAAGCAATTAATTCAATTGAACACAATTGAAAGTGTGTGCTGGGGCGGCACTGACACTGACCCCAACCCCCTCACCTGTTTGTTCCACTTCCAATCTGGACCACGTATCACCCGTGCCCCAACGCCCTCCATGGAGAAGCGTCTGGCGACGGCAGCCGCTGAGCCAGCAGCGCCTGCTCCACCGCCAGCTGCCGCAGTCGACGTCGTGCCACCTGCAACCGTTGCAACGTTTCCAGCGCTGCTGCTCACTACCACACCCACAGCTGCTGTCGATGAGTTTCCCGTCTGTGGTGCTCCGCTGGCATTTGCTGCATTTGTTGTGTCCTTAGCCGCCGACAAAGTTGCGGCGCAAGACATTTTCCAACGTCTTTCTGCTGCTGAGTATCCACTCTTGGTCTTTGCCCACAATTTCCACACTTTATTGCACAATTTTCATGTATTTTTCGCGTCGAAAACCAGAGTTTCAGCCGTATCGCTAGTGTGACCGCGGATTGTCGATAAATAATACCGAACGACCCAAAAAGCTATACTAAAATATACCTTCTCATGTTAAAAATATACCGTCATCTAAATAATTTTCCTCGATTTCGCTATTCTATTCAATAAAACTAGCTGGTTAGGATTCTCACTGTTAAAACTATTATTTTATACAATTCATAAATCAATTTTCCACATGATTGATTAGTTTACATGACTTGCTTTTATTGAATTGTTTACAACCTACCAACAAAATTAGCATAAAACGTTACGTGATTAGGCTTGGAATGTTACGTTATTTGACCGCTTGTTGCTTGCCAACCAGTTGTATGGTATAGTATAGGAATCTTGTACCTATTTTCGTTTTCAAAGCTGCTTTTAAACATTAAGATTGACTTTGTCTTATTTTATCGCCAACAAAATCTCATTTCTTATCCGCAAGGGTAGCAGAATGTTGCATGCCCGTGTAGCGGAACATATTGTGACATATTTATCGAAAAGTGTTGCTGGCCAATTAATCTTCCCGTACACCTGCCCATCTAGCTAAAGAAAACCAAAAGTTCGTTTTAAATTTAAAAATGTAAATTTAAAAATAACAAAAAAATGTATAAAATTGTACAAATTATTAAGCTTTGAGATACTGCTCAGGATGAATGAGAAATGCTTCTAAGAAAGCAACTCCTTTTGGCAGAAATTGTATATTTTCGTTGAAGAGATGCAGTTTGGGCTGCAGAATATCTTTAAACGAAACTCTCTCAACATTGGCAATTTCAATCACGAAATCGGTCCTGTCAATGCGCGTGTGTGTATCCAACTCAATGAGCCTGCGCACAGTCTTTTTTATAACCATTCGATTCGCATGTCTAGAAGGGGGAAAAAGAACGAGAAATTGTAAGCATGTGAGGGGCACGAGGGATCGTCAGGTGTTACCTTTGCAGACTCGCCCTCGTGGCTGTGAGTACCGTTAGCAGTTTGTGGAATGTGCGTTTGATGTCCACACAAATTGCGTTTATACATTGCAGAAATTGTGCGAAATCCACCACACTGTTGCCCTCAATGGCGCTGGTCAGATTCACGGGCAACTTGAGCTGCAGCTGAAAGTCCAGCAGGTGCTCAAACGCTGTCCATCTTTGCAGTGGAATCGCTGTTGCCTGCTCCACCCCGATGTAGTTCACCACTATGCCAGTCTCAGCGTCATCCACTGTCTCGTAGTCCACAATCAGGCGGAATGTGGGGAGCAGTCGATGGGTGAATATCATTTTCCGCGAAATCTTTAGCTGATAGTCAAAGATCCAGTTGGGCTGCTGCTCGCCCAACAGTGCCTGAAGGCGATCGAAAAACGTTTCAAATGGTGGCTCGACCATCGGCTGCACAAGCTCCTGACTATCGGCCAGACTGCGCTTTAATCTAGAGTGTGGAGTGAATGTGTTAAAGCGGAAGGTAAATTGAATATTTCTGTGGATCTCACCCTTCGATCTTTATGCTGTATGCGGCCAACACTTCGTTGATGTCCCACTGGTTGGCCTCCGTCTGAGCCCCCTCCTCCTCCTCCTCGTCCAGCGCTTGCTCGAGTGCGTTGGTCTGCCTCTCCTGCTCCTTGATCTGCCAATATTCGTGCACATCGTCCAAGTTGGGCCTTTGTCTCACGCGTTGCAGCATTTCAATTTCCCGCGTCAGACCCCACTGGGGCAGGGAGGGCAGGACAAAGGAATCGTTGCTCAGCTTTGTTTCGTTTATGGATCGCCTGCAGTTTGCACACTTTCTGCAGGAGGCGCTGGAACCAGCAGCCACCATGCGAGAGCTCTCCTTTTGCTCCTGGCAGGGCTCAGGCTCTGCCTGTGGCTCTGCGGGCATTGCCTCATCATCCGTGTCCGGTTCATCCGCCAGCGTGGAGACCAAACTCAGCCGCACATTTTCTATCTTATTCGTCTCCGGCTCATCCATATCGATGTTCTCCACAAGGGCAGCCGCAAAGATGGTCGTGTCACCGGAGAGATTGATGAATTTTTGATTTGTGGGTGCGTAGCTCTTAAACGTACGATCTGTGGAGCTGCCACTATCCCTGTAGCCAGAGTTGCGCTGCTCCATGTGTTCCTGCTCTGGCTCTTTCTGTGTGGCAGCCTCCTCCAGCTCTTGCTCTGGCTCTGTGGCACTCACCGTCGGCTCCTTCTGCACCTGCTGCGCCTGGCTTTGAAAGTAAGCGGACACATCCGAAATGGTTATGGGCCTGCCCTCAAATACAGTGGCCTGCGGCGGCGGCTGCACCTCCATCACATCTGGATCATCATTCAATTTACGTGAGAAGCGGTCGCTCTGCACATCCCTCACTGGCTGCACACTTTCGTTGAAGTTCTCCAAGGGAATGCGTGTCTTGTTCGCCACTTCCTGAAGGGAAACTCTACTCAGATCCATCGACAACTCTTGATCTTCCTCCATCATTTTACTGTTCGCAAAAAGGTGTGTGTTACGCTTCTTGGACTCTGGCAGATTGGGCGTCAGGTGGGCTGGCAATCGCTTGGCAGCGGCACTGTGTCGTTTGGGTGTGCCAATTGCTGATTTTTCGCCCTCCAATTCCATTCTCACGGAGTGATAGATGGAGCGTTTCCTTCGCAGCGATGCCTGAAGCGGACCAAGAGCTGCAGCCGACTCATTCGTCTCCTCCTCGAACTCTTCGAATTCATTCATGGAATTTCCAGACGCTGAGCGGTTCTGTTTCTGCATGGGAGTGATTGGGAGTAGCTCCAGAGGAGCTCTCAATGATTGCAGTGGACTCTGGAAGTCGTCATCATCCTCTTCCATCGATTCAGACATGATCATTGTCTGTTGTGCCCGGCCCCGGGAGCCACGATTTGGTGCCATTTTTGTAGACTTCTCGTGTGGTTTCGCTTCTTCCCTGTCCTCCTCCTCCATGGAGTTGCCCATGAGCAGAGTCTGACTTGCTTTAGATGGCTTTAATGCTGCCACATTTTGCTCAATGACCACAGATTTCTTCGCGGATTCGCGTGTGTTTCTCGGCTTGGATATGCACGTTTCCTCCTCGATGGGCTCTGCCATGAGCAGCGTTTGTCTACGATAGCCACTCAACGCAGCCTTAACGGGGGCCAGAGACTGCTCTTTCGTTCGATCTTCCACAATGGATTCCGCCGTTAAAAGAGTATTTCTGGCCACAGACTTCTTGGCGGATTCGCGAGTGTTTCTTGGCTTGGCTGTGCACGTTTCCTCTTCGATGGGCTCTGCCATTAGCAGCGTTTGTCTACGAAGGCCACTTGCTACATCCTTCATGGGGGCCACAGGCGGCTCCTTGGTTCGTTCTTCCTCTATGGGTTCCGCCATTAGCAGAGTATTTCTCGATTTGTAGTCCACAGCCTTCTTCGCGGATTCGCGAGTGTTTCTCATCCACGTTTCCTCCTCGATGGGCTCTGCCATTAGCAGCGTTTGTCTACGAAGGCCACTTGGCACATCTTTACCGGGGGCCACAGGCTGCTCCTTGGTTCGTTCTTCCTCTATGGGTTCCGCCATTAGCAGAGTATTTCTCGATTTGTAGGCCACAGCCTTTTTCGCGGATTCGCGTGTGTTTTTCGTGCACGTTTCCTCCTCGATTGGCTCTGCCATGAGCAAAGTTTGTCTACGAAAGCCACTTGGCACATCTTTACCGGGGGCCTTGGTGCGATCTTCCTCTATGGGCTCTGACATTACAAGCGTGTGCCGCGATTTGTATGACCGATAGACAGTTGATTGGTCGATTCGCCTCGTTTCCAGTTCCTCCATAAGGTCCTCTTCCATGGGCAGATTCTCCTTATTGGCGGATGTCAGCCGTGGCTCTTCCCTGGCTTGATTCGTATCCTCTTCAATGGGTTCGGACATGAGCAGCGTGTGCCTTGATTTCGTGCGCTGTTGTCCAGCTGAAGGATGCTGCAGCATGGGTTCCTCTTCTATGGGTTCCGCCGCAAGGAGAGTCTGTCGGGATTTGCCCCGTTGCTTTGCTGCTGACTTATCCATTCTGATGGGCGCAGCATCTTCCTCTATGGGTTCCGCCTGCAGAATGGTCTGTCTAGCTTTGGTTCTATGATATCCCATTGGCTGTTGCTCTTCCACGGGTTCTGGCTGCTGCAAATGATATTTCCTTGTGGCCCCAGTGGCTGCAACAGTCTGAGGTATGCTATCATCCTCCTCCAATGGCTCCGCCAAGTGTAGCGTATGCCTGGGCTTAGCTTTACTCTTTGCCGTCATAGGAGCGTTTGCCCTGATGTGCAGCTCCTTCAGGGGACTTATGATATCCTCTTCCATGCTCTCCTGCATCAGCAGCGTCTCCCTGCGTTTCGTTTTGCTGCCTACCCAAACGGGAGCTGGTTGCTGCGGCACATTGTTCAATGCGGGAGGTGCAGCTTCTACCTCTATGGGTTCCGCCTGAAGTATCGTCTGCCTAGCTTTGGATCTTTGATATTCCATTGGTTGAGGCTTCTCCACGGTTGCAGGTTCGGGTGCGGCTCTTTCAGCTACAGTTTCGTCTTTTTCCAAAGGTTCTTCCAGGTGCAGAGTTTGCCTGGGCTTAGACTTGCGCCCAATCGTAGGCAGCTCCTTGGGTGGACTTGTAGTATCCTCATCCATGCTCTGCTGCATAAGCAGCGTCTCTCTGCGTTTCGATTTGTTGCCCTTGCTGGGGATGTTCTCCGCGTACTGGCAGACAATCTCCTCCCGCACACACTGCACCACCTGAAGGCCCTTCATGCGCTGCTGCTGCGTCGTAGCTTCTTGCTCCATGGCCATGGACTCGTTCATGTGCAGGGTGCGTCGGGCACAGGAGCGTACTGGAGGCATGGCAGCAGCAGCAGCTTCTTCCTGATCCATTGCCGTGGGCTGACAAATGGTCTGTCTGGGTTTGGAGTGCTTTGGTGCTGGAAAGTCCTCTCTGCTAGGCAGTCCTAGATCCAGCTCCGAGTTCTCATATGTTGTCTCTCGCCTCGTGAAGCTCTTGGAATTGTTGCGGGACTGGGTCTCATCGCCCAGTTTGGCATGTGCCAGGAAGTTTGTGTTGTCCAGCATTAGCTCATCCGCCTGCGAGAGTCGATACTTGCGCTTGTCGTCTGCTGGCAGTTGCAGCTTTTCCCTCGGCAATGGCACTGCCACTCGCGGGGCCACTGGCGTTGTTAGTGCCAAGGGGGACATGGTCATATTCTCGCTGAAATTCAACGTTCCCCGCGGCTTGATGCTCCTGATGTTGATGCCCATTGGTTCCTGGTCTTGATCCTGCTGTTCGAGGCCATGCCAGAATCTCCTCTGCTTGCTACTGCGATCAGTTGGAGTTCTGGGTCCGTTTACAAGAACCTTTATCTTTCCCGCTTCCAGCTCGTCGTTCAGTTGGCGAAATGTCAACTTTTTGCTTATGTTTTTGCCGGAAATCATGTCAAATGGTATGAGCACAGACTCGTCGCCCATGTAGTTGATGGTGCTGTTGTTGGACTCTGCGCCGAAGGAGCCATTCGCTGCCAATCGATCTCTCGCATCGGAAACTGCAAAAGCAAAAAGAATCCACATTAAAAACTGCCAAAAAGGCGAAGAGGGAAGTCAAACCAACCGTTCATGTCGCAGTCAAAGGATATATCTGCCTGACGCTGGCTCTCCGCTCGGCTTTCTTCCGATTTTTGTGCAGCATTAACATTCTCCTTTGCCTTAGTTGTCAGATGTTGATTGGAGCAGTTGAGAAACTCCTGTTCCAGGTCCATGAAGCTTTGCGTAGCTGCAGCTGGGACAGGAACTGGTGCGACAGCTGCTGGCACTGGAACTGGCAAGGGTGCAGCGAATCCTATTGGCGTAATATCCATAAAGGAATCACCCCCAGATTTCGTTGGCTGTGTTTTCAAATGCTCCTTTTCGAACGTTGACAACTCCAGCGAGCAGTCATCTCTGAGTTTCGACGAGATATGCATCAGATCTATGGTCTTGTCCATAACACGATGATTGTACAGCGCATCCTTGAGCTTGTCCCGCCCTATGCAGGAGAGCGAGAAACTCTCAGCGTAGAGCGACTCGCGGGACTGCGTACTATTTCGGGCATTCCGATTCGTTTCACATGTCAGCATGGGCACATCCAGGCTCGTCCGTATATTCAATGTCGATTCTATTTGGGTACTTTGATGCTCGGGTATATTCTCCTTTTGCGCTGTCGGGATCGGCGTCGGCGTCGGCATCGGCATCGGCATCGGCATCTGGTGGCTGGGGCAAGTATTCGATGCCTTTTCTCTGCTGTCTTCGCCATTGGTGTGGTCCGATAATTCGTAGGAGTTATCCCAATAATGAGGTTCCTCTGTATTCACAAACTCCCTGTCAAGCATACATTATTAATTCAGCTGGTATAATTTAAATGCTTAAGCCAATTGCGCACTCACCTCACAGACTTCTTGCCGCTGAAACTGATGCGACGCTTCAGCAGGGAATTCCGCGTCGTCGATGGCGCTGTTTGATCGTGTTCTTTGGTTGGCGGTGGCTGCCGCAGCTTTAAATGCATACGTGCAATTGTCCAAATAAGTATTCGAGAGTATTTTTAAATTACAACAACACTCACCGAACTCCTACGTTTGTTTTTATCCATTTTGTGGCAAAGTTGTCGAAATTTTCAAATCTCATAGCGTCGCCAAATGTGACCGCAGCTTTTCCTTAAAATATACCGGCCGCACTCAGAAATATACCAAAACTGTACTTAATGTACTAAATAGTATATACCGACGAGGGTGCATGGTGTGTGGCAATAGTAAGGTGACGCGAGGTGTGCGCGCTTCACAATTATTTTTATTCACAACAAAATCCAATAATCACATTTTAAATTTATCAAATATAAAGCCCTTAGGCCTTGAAGTTATCTTTCTCTTTGCGCAACTTGCCCATGGTTATAATGGGATCGGTTGCTCCTCCAGCATGCTTCTGAACAGACGCCTCGTGGACGCGCATGAACGGATTCCAGATCTTCTCCTCGCCAATGGTAGAGGGCACTGTGGGATCCTGAGATGCACGTCGCAGCTTGGCCCACTCAATGCGTTGCTGTATGCTCTCATTATCGGGCTCCACATGACGAGCAAAGCTCATGTTCTGCAATGTATATTCATGGCCACAAAAAACCTTGGTGCTGTCCGGCAGGGCCGAGAGTTTTGTGCACAGCGCCTCGTACATCTCCTCGGGTGTGCCCTCGAAGAAGCGGCCACAGCCTCCCTGGAACAGAGTATCGCCCGTGAAGACAGCACCCTCGCCCTTGCCATCACCGGCGGTCACATGATAACAAATGTGGCCAGTTGTGTGGCAAGGAGTGGACAGGCAACGTACGTTGAGGCTGCCAATGGTAAAGCTGTCATCCTGGGAAACCTTTTTGTTCAATGCGCCGATCCTATCGTCGCCGCCATAAACATCCAACTCCTTCTCCCACAACTTGACGAGCTTCTCATTGCCACCGGCATGATCCCAGTGATGATGGGTGGTCAGGACCTTGTTGAGCGTCAAGTTCTGCTCTTGTACGGTCTTGATGACTAGTTCGGGATCCACAGGATCCACCACAGCTGCCTCGCGCGTCTTATTGTCCACAATCAAGTACATGTAGTTGTCCTGCAAGGCCGGCAGGATTTTCACCTGCATGCTCTCCAGCTTAACGTCTTCCACAGTGCTATGCATGCCTCTAAAACCAACTTTACGCAGTTTCTGAACTGAAATGAGACATCGAAAGGGCTATAGAACATGGAGGGGATACAGCAAGAAGCGGTGCAACAAGCAAACAAATATAAAAACAAAACCAAAACACAGAGTGACAACGACAACAAAAAGCTTAGGGCTCCAGAGATTAGATTAAACATTAAATGTACGAGTATGGATAGATTACGGTTGACGGGACTTTGACAGACGGGAGGAACAGCCAGAAATCGTCTTCGTATTGATCCAGCACCAGATGGAATCGCAATCCGGAGGAGTTGCAATCGCAATTTGTTGGACGAACCTCGGAAATAGGCGGCAGTCAATTGGGTTTCAATATTGATAGCCACGCTGCGCCAAGCCGATGACAACATTTAAGCGGTTCTAATTTTAGCTAAGCTAATGCTTGGTGAGATGAATTAAATTAATAAAAGGCACTTAATTGTATTTACGGTTTATGTAAATTTTTTGCTCTGGAAAAGTGCCGCAAATTGTGGAATTGTGACAGCGGAATATCGACCAAATATACCAGCAGACCCTCAGAAACATACCAAAATATACCTTCTAAACGGTCAACGGTAAGATATGTAAGTGTGGAATGTGGATAGAATTTAACGTGATTGGAATTAGATGGGATGGAGTAAAGACTGAAAAACATGCGTATGGGAGTTATGATACCCTATAGTCTTGAACATACCCTACAAATAGAATTTAATCGACCGACAAATTTCAATAAATGTACATTTTATACGATTCCATTCCAACCAGGCGATATCGATAACTCAGCTATCGAAGTCGAATTGTCAGTTAGTTTTGAATTAGAATTCGAATAGTCATAAGCTAGAATAGTAATATGTCCGAATCAACCGATATGGACTGCGCCAACTCTGAATCCATGCTGATTGGAGTGCAGCATGTGGGTGTGACAGCCAAAATACAGTCGCCACTCAAGAAGGTCCGTCCCCGTATGGAAATATCCAGCGAATCGGACATGTATCAAGATGCCCCGATCAAAACCCAATATCAAGTGTTCAAAAACGACCGATTGCAAGAGACAACTGGCACCACAACGGATGGCAGCTCACCGCCCGCTCTGTACAAGATGCGTGCCGAGCCGGAGAGCTTACTGCTGGGTAGCGTGAATGAAAACCCGGAACGCATTGAGTTCCAGCGCTACTCGAAGCGGCGTCCCCGTGTCTCTGTGCCACTACGTGGCCGTGCTGGAGTCCACCCGAGATCAAAGGCGAACAAAGCATCCCAGGCGCCGCAGCTGACGAAGAAGAAGAAGGAGAAACCAGGCATTGTCAACCGTCTGATGCACGCGCTGGACAACATGTGCAAGTGCCAGCCGCAGCACTCGCAAAGCCTCATCGACAATCTGCCCGAGCCGCACTGGAACAAGAAGGAGGAATCGCGCCACACGTGCATCGGCATATATCCGTTCGAGCACGGCTGTGCGGATTATCTGAGCACCACGGACACACATCCCAGGATCAATGCCATTGTCCTCGCAGATCGGGCCACCACCTATGCCACTCACTTCTGGGCGGAGCTGTTTGGACTCCTGCACATTGCCGTGGCCTTTGTGGTGGCCTTCATTCTGCAGTGCTATCGATTCGTGCTCTACTCTCTGGTCAACACCCTCCTTGTGGGACTGCTGCACTTGACCTCCGACTATGTGCTGAAGCCTGTGCTGACCACGCTGTTCAATGGTTTCCTGCAGCCGCCCCTGATCCTGGTGTACAACATTCTCTGCTCCTTGCGTGACATTACGGAGCCTCTGGGCGATGCCTTGGGACATTTCCTCAAGCCGCTGGCCACTGTTTGCGGCAGCCTGCGACTGGTCGATGTCAACCACCGTCCAGTCCGACGTTTATCCAAAAACGTTTGATTTTCCTTGTTTGTTCTTTCGTTTGTTTAAATTCGTTGATTTTTCTTAGAACTTTTGTTCCGTTTTCCGTTTCGTTCCGTGGGCGGAGCCTGTTCGCTGCACAACCCCTAAACGGATATCGGGGGGTACATTGTGCCTCTCCTTCCGTTCTCCCTATCCATCTCCCTCTGCATGGATTACACACAATATTACGCACATTCCGAACCTGGATCGGATTACATTGTTTTTCTTGTTTCCACAGCACACCCGTACCGTACCCGTGGCCATAGCGACAGCCTCACCCTCTCCCGAGCACTGGACTTAAGGGTGTGCGAGGCGAGGCGAGGCTCAATTACGTAGAATGAAACATTTATGATTTATTTGCTCATTTTGTGGTCGTTCCACCAGGACATGACAGGGTTCCACCCGTAAAGCATATGTCTAAAATAAAATTGTTAAAAAACGAATCCCACTAATTGTGTCCCGCGAGAGTTTTCATTTGAGTGGGTTAAAAAAAAAGGGAAGTGAAAATATAATTTTATAACAATTTAATGAAGCTCTGAATATAGTTACTTCCTGCCGCCATTCATGTACCTATAGAATTTTAAAGGCAGCAGCCGAATGGGTTGCCGATTCCATCTCATCATTATCCTTTTCCTTTCAGTGCAAATTTCTCAAGAATTTTGTTTGTTTGCACTGCAAATACGAGAAATCAATAAAACTGATCTGCAAAAACGATGACTATCAAGGCGTTTGGTTACCTTTTTCCAGTTAAGTTTCACTTTTCAATGGAATCTGAATCCCATTCAGGAAGTAGTAAAGCAAACCCATAAATTATCATATTCAAATCTAGAAAATAAATATCAATGCAATGGTTGAGGCTGGCTCTCAGGTGTAAACAAAAAGTTGAAGCTAAGAAATGTGTGTGCGTATTTATTTGATTTATAGTTGTTGTACAGTAAGAAGAGACACACACAAGAAGCTTTCATTAATGAGAATAATGAGGCAGGCAGGCGGTAGGCCGTCGCAGGATCATCTTACACATGCACATGCACCCCTTTGGTTCGCCCTTGCCTTGCCTCCAATTAGCTGGTTGGAAATTGTTGTGTTTCTCGACATATGTTTTAAATTAATGAAGCTCCCAAGGCATTGATTGATTTGCGCTACTAATTGCACGGATTTACTCGAAGAATATTATTAATTGGAGTGTCACAATGTGTCCACAAAATACACGACAATATCTATAAGTAAATATGCGCACAGTCCAACAAGGTGCGAAAATCATTTACCCACTTCCAGACGTAATACAGAAATCCTCTGGGTCTCTCGGGTACGCCTACTCGCGTTTAATGCCTCGGTTTGCCCATTATTGTGTGATCGACAGACGGGATAAGGGAATCCGTGTAGCAGCACCAGCAGACTGCATTCATGAATGGAGACAGACAGGGACGTGGACGGGGAACTGGTAAAGGAACAACGACAAGGTGACACATCCCGGGGACACTTTACAAAACATTTTGTTGTTGTTTTGTTCAGAATTTAAAGATTACAGCTGTTAAGCTGTTTTCTGGGCTGCTGCTGCTGCTGCTCTATTTTCTATTCTATTTTCTATTATCTCTCTCGTAGCCCTGTGAACTGGAATTCAAGGATTAACCAGGCAGGTTCCTCGTAACAATCGCCTAAGACCATGACGTTTGCTAAATATCAGCGGGTTCTGTCTGTCTGTCTCTTCTTTTTGCGAGAAGTTAAGCAATTTGTGGTCAGTCTGCCATCTAAGGGCACAATAGTGGCGTACAACAGTAAAACGATGGGCTGGACAGCAGCAAATGGTTATGCAAGAAGTTATGAGTAAATGTGCACAAATTCGAGAGGAACTTTAAGGATTTTCGCATGGAAAATTGAGTAATAGTTGAAGATTATAGAGCTCAAGTGTATTCAGATTTCTAGGTACTTGAGTGGGGAGACACAATGGAATGCTTGAATGCTGTGTGATGCAATAAGTTGGAACTCTATTGAAATGGGAGTAACATTTACATAGATATTGTGCGTGCAAGTGGCCAAAGGATGTATGGATTAAGATAAGTCGAGGCAGCAGGAAATGGTACTAAGAGATATGAGCGATTGATATAGGAATATGATGATTTTATATTTCTTTGAAGGCAGGAATTGGGTGATACATCTTTAATAGAATAAATAAATTACAAAGAATTTTGTAATCCAATTTCAGGACTAATCACCACTCTTTTATATGATTTTCTCCGAGAAAAATGGCATGGTAAAAAGCAACATAAATACCTACACAAATTGTTGGAAATTTAATATAAATAAATAAAATAAAAATAAAAATAAAAAAACCCAGATTTTTTTTATAATTAATCAAAAATGAAAATAATACATTTGTTAGAAATATATGTTTCTCATTTAAGTAGGAAAATTCTCAATTTAAATATATTTTCAGGGTCGTTCATCATGGGAGCCATAATAATGTCTCAGTTTCATCTGCAAGGCAACGTCACCGACAGTTAGCTTATCTTCAACTATGTTCTCTTATCTTTATGCACGATTTTGGAGTGCATTTAAACTGTTTCAAGTCCATTTGAAAATTGTTGCGAATGAATTTGCATTCATGCGCTTGCATTATTTAGGAAGCAGACACCAAACACACTCGAGGCAAACAAAAAAATGTGCTTGCCTCAGCTAAACATGATAGTGTGGGAACGAACCAAAAGACGCATTTCCATTGAGCCCAAGCCAGGCGAGAATCCAACAAAAATAAGTACAAACAAAAAATTAATAATAATACAAAAAGCTTTGTGCGATTGCCGACGGGTAAGTCCTAACACGTGATTTTAATAATGGAATTAGCTTGGGTTTCGTGTGCACAAATTTACAATCCTTTTGCTGCGGTCAATTAGAGGGCAAACGCCCATCCACACCTAATCAAAAGGGGGAGGGTGCTGCTAGGCAACAACAAAAGCTCGAATATCGAAGTTAGTAATCGGTAATCGGTATCGACACCTGCAGGAGGATTACTCCATCTCACTCCCACTCCAGCGAATCAATCACACGGACAGAGAGCATCCCTCTGCCCGTGCCTCTTTCTGTGACAAATCTGTGCTCTGGGACCTGGAATTGCGTCGAGTGTGACGAAATTGTCAACCCTCCTCCTTCCTAATTTGATGCTTAATGAATTCCCTGCAAAAACTGGAAAAGTGCTCCTGTTTCTGTATGTGTGTTTTCTCTGTTCATGTGTTCCTGGGGGCAACGCGATTGTTTAGCCTTTTTGTGGATGGGATTGTCACCTTTGTGTCCATGTCACTTTTATTTCATTTTACTTTATCGCACCATTTCGTGTTGAATGCAGCCGTGGAGGAGAGGAGAATTTTGTAATTGAAATTTGATCCCATTAGATGAGCGTAAGCAGAAGCAGCGGCAGCGGCAGAGACTCGCAACGAAAATTCTTTTCCCAATCCCAGCCTCCGACTGGGCATCAAATTGCATTGAGTCTGGGCACTGGGAGCCGACTCACAGACTCGACTCGTGGATTCTTATGTGCATTTTATATGCAAAAAAAGACGGAAAAATATGGCCACAAAACTCGGTGCAAAGAAATTAAGCAATGTCATAGAAATTTGATGTAAATTCCAAGAAAATGCACACGGGCATTCATTAGATACGATACACCAACCCACTCCACCCCTTAAACACGATTCTAATGAGGTCATGATGTTTGTTTCACAATGAAATTCAATGTTTTTCACCGTTAGATAATACACAAAAGCAAAGATTTGCACAAACATGACAAAATGGCTGCCCAAAGGTAACGCCCTCTTACGCTAAGGATAACGGCACACGCAACACCCACCCACCCCTAAATTGGCCAGCTCCTGCACAGCAGACAGCCAGTCAACCAGTCAACGGCCACTTCGTTGCAGCCCCGAAACGAACGGCAACGGAACGGCCTGCCGAGTGCCTGCCTGCCCCTGGGATTCCCCATAGACGGCTCTGGCTCTGCTTCCGCTTGCATTTCATTTGATTTCGAACAGCGAACGCGTCAAGACGGTCAGGAGAGAACGGATCTCCCCAAAGAAAAACTCAAACAGTTCTTCGAGTGCAAAGAAAATCTGGCAAATAAATAAATATATAACACAAACAAGTGCCAAAAGTGAATGAAGTTTAACAAATTTAAATCTGGAAATATTTCAAAATGAATATTTAATACGAATCAATCAAGTGTTTGCGGTGAATAAAAGTGAAAAGTTATTCCAATCAAATCTAGTTACAACTCAACTTTGTTCAGTGCTCGAAAGAAGTGCAATAATGTTTGAGAAAAATATGGATACAAATAATCTATCAGTGTCGATTAGCGGGGATCTGGACTCGACCAGTTCCGGCGGCACTTCATCGGATCATTCGGCGGTGCAACAGGATAATCTGAGCTCACCCATGACCTATGGATCACTCTTCCTGCCAAATCCCGGTTAGTTAATGCAATGTCTAACGTCTGGTATCTGCTCAGATCATAGCACAGCAAAGAGACAGGGCCAATATCGTATTACTCTAGACAAGAGGCGTCAATGAGGCGCTGCATAAACAATTAAAAGCCAGGACGGACTACTACACATTTTGCTGAATATAACAAAAGTTATGAGGATTATGCATTGCAGTGTAGGGTGCACAAGGGATGGGGTTATATGGAATCCATTAGAGAATGACATTTGCATTTTAATAATACAATTATAATATGGCTTTTTCATTTAATTCGTTCATCATATATGATCAGGAACTGCTGTAATTTCTCCTCTTATTTTCTTCTCTATCATTTCTTATCCTTCCCTGCTGCAGTGCATTCAAAGTTCGTCGCTGCATAGTCCATTCTGTAGCCTAAAGCAATGTACCATCAAATGCATTATGTATTACATATATGTACATACATACATATGTATATGTATTTGCATATTTACATTTATGTACACATATCGAATTTATTTATTTGCTTAATGTCTCTTTATGGTCTCGATACACTCCCCGTTCCCGTTCCCGTTCCCGCCCCCTGCCCTTGCCCGAAGGTGTCGAAAGACGAGCGTTTTTTGGTCGGGTATTTGGTCGATTAGTCACATGCAAATGTGAGGGGGCTCTGGGGTGGGGGTGCCACCGAAATGGCACGTGAGAAACGAACTAACTTCTCCGCTTTCCTCTTCTCCACCGTCTGCAGGTTATCGTGGCAATCTGTCGTGCAAAACCGTCTTGCAGTTGGATAAATTTGGGACCTATGAGGGCGCGGAGAAGGATCATCTGTTGGAGCGACGCTTTCAGGATATTACCAACGATTATGACAAGTCCCCACCGCCCACAGCCTCCACCACGCCCACACATTATCCCTCACTGAACAGCATAATGTTCGAGAATGGCGGCGGCGGCGGCGGTGTCGGCGGCCCCTTGGGCGATCTCAATGGTAATACGAAGACGGATGCCCTGTGCACGGGTCTCCAAAGAGGTGGTGGCGGTCTAGCGGGTCACCCGGGCAGCGGTGGACACCTAATATCGAATCTAACGGCTGCCCACAACATGTCCGCCGTGGGCAACTTTCCCATCGATGCCAAAATGCTGCAATTCTCCACAGATCAGGTGAGCAATTGAAGTAGTCCATAGAGGAGCATCTCTTATAATTATGCTTTTGTGTTATTCCCAGATCCAATGCATGTGCGAGGCACTGCAGCAGAAGGGCGACATTGAGAAGTTAACCACCTTTCTGTGCAGCCTGCCGCCCAGCGAATTCTTCAAGACCAACGAGAGTGTGCTGCGTGCCCGCGCCATGGTCGCCTACAATCTGGGACAATTCCACGAACTATATAACCTGCTGGAGACGCACTGTTTCTCCATCAAGTACCATGTGGATCTGCAGAATCTCTGGTTCAAGGCGCACTACAAAGAGGCCGAAAAGGTGCGCGGTCGTCCCCTGGGCGCTGTCGACAAGTATCGCCTGAGAAAGAAGTATCCCCTGCCCAAGACGATATGGGATGGCGAGGAGACGGTCTACTGCTTCAAGGAGAAGTCGCGGAATGCCCTAAAGGATTGCTATCTGACCAATCGCTATCCCACGCCCGATGAGAAGAAAACGCTGGCCAAGAAGACGGGCTTGACGCTCACCCAAGTATCCAATTGGTTCAAGAATCGCCGGCAAAGGGATCGTACGCCCCAACAACGATCGTAAGTTAATATTGAATGATAATCCTCTGTCCTGTCCTAGGGTGTTACTCTGTTCGAGCCTTTCCTTTCTTTCCATTTCCACATAACTCGTAAAACAATTCATTCAACACTTGAGTGTGTTCCACACCCAGAAGAATTTTGGAAAACTGGGAACAAATATAATCAATTGCCTTTTGGGAAATTGGCATTAAAAATCGTTTGTGCTCCGTAAGTGACCGTAAAACACTTGCGAGCGTCCAGTTGCCACTTGAGCGTGTTTTATGTTCAATTTTGCCAGCTCCTACCATGGGTTAGGGTCGGGTCCTGCATATTTTTAGAGAGCTATGGGAAGGGACGGGACGTGACCCTAACGCAGCGCATGCGTGTAGCATGTGCCGCACCGCTCACCCGCTGCTTGATCGCCTTCTCCCTGGGCGTCAAATTGCAGAACACACTCCCAGCACTCCTCTCGAGCAAGTGGAGTAAATGTGTTTCTCTTTTCCTCTTTTTTGTGTGAGTGTTGCTTTAATTATATATATTCCCTTTCGTTCTTTTGCAGTGATATTATGTCGGTGCTGCCCGTAGGCCAGTTGGATGGCAATGGCTTCCCGCGCATGTTCAATGCTCCCAGCTATTATCCCGAGACGATTTTCAATGGGCAATAAACTGAGAAGTTCGAACCATTGGAAAGGGGGTTCCATTGTTTTGTAAATACTGCGATTTTATGTTTAAACAAAAAAAAACAAAAGCAAATGAAAAACTGGTCATCAAATGGCATCATATTGTTTAGCTTTAGAATAATCGACATTTTGCTTTATGTATTGTACAATATTAATAAATAAAATGAATGAATTGTACGCGTAAATAGATTGCAATAGATTAATAAATCCCAATACCACAATAACATTATAAGTTATCAGTTTTAATCAACATTTCCCACGTGCCTTAAAAAATTATAATAATACTTAAATATGGAGGAGACTGTCTGAGGATCTATTTATCCTTATATTTCATTTTGATTTCATACATCGCAATTCTTTCCTCCTGCTGCAGCTCGAGTTTTCTCAACTTAACGGCTGACTCGAATTTCTTCTCCTCAAACTTCATTCTTAGCAGCTCCTTCTCCTTCAGCCACTGGAACTTCTCCACCTCCAACTGCAGCAAGGCTTCCTTGTAGTCCAACTCAACGATCTTCTTCGCAGAATCGATGTGCGGCTTTTGGGGTTCCTCGATTCCATTTTGGTGATTATTTAGCTCAGTTTCAATTACGGAATCAGAGCAGTCAATGGGATCCATGGACGAACCGCTTTCGCTTTTCAGAAACTCCGCATTCAGCGAGTCGTCGTTGCTGAAAATGAAGCGCGGTTGGTCGTAGTTGGTGTTCCATACGCTGTTGCTCATGGAGGATTCGAAATTGAAATCGGCGCCAAACATGTCAACCAATTGATCATAGTGCGGGCACAATTGAAGCAACGTCTCTGCAAGCATTGCCTGATTAAACTCATAATAATCACAGTAATCAGTTTTACCTCTAATTCTAGCTGGATCGTCTACCTCAGCACCTTTCGTCTTCATCCAGGTGTTGGCCTTCTGCAGAGTGCCTTTTAGATATCTCAGTTTGCATTTAAATGTGTTCCAGGTGCCGCTTATCTTGGTTTCGTCCATCAGCTTCGTGTAGTACTTCTTTGCCGTGGGTTTCTATCAAGTGGTTGGTGTTGGTTAAAGTCGGTTAAGAGTATAATGGTTACCTACCTCGATGTTCCCGTTTTTCGCAATGTATGTTAGCATAGTTCTTATTTCCTCGTCGTTCCATTTCTTTATTGTTGTCGCTTTCCGGTGCCATTTAAGTGGTCTTGCTGTGAACAATAATACAAAACATTAATTCCTGATTGGTTTTAGGTGCTCGGCATGTGTACTAACTGATTTTGTTTGAAGGCATTTTGATTCTTTTGATTGTTTTGCGAAGAAATCAACTTATGATGAGCGTACTAGGGATGGGAATGGCAGAAAAGTATTTAGTATTTTCCAGAAAATTTTGGTATTATTTCTTAAAAATACCAAAAAACAGCAGCAAATCAATACAGCTATCGATATACTCCGCCAAAAATAGCAACAAAAGGAAACAGACAAGAAATGTCAAATAAATCTAATCTTAGCGAATACTTTGCTAATGATCCACCGAGTTTTTTTGATGAGCTGACGAACAAGCCAAAGCAGCCCAAGGAGATCTCTACAGAAAGTATTGTCAGTGGCAGTGGGGGTAACAGCAACAATATGTTGTCGAGCACATTCGCAGGTTTCTTCCAACCTCCCGAGTTTGTAGAAACACCTGAGGTAGATGAACCAATCAAAGTCACCGACGAGGTCCGCAATTTGTGGGAGCTGCCCCGTGAAAATGATCACAGCAAATTGATTATGCCCGGCATACACCTACAACACGATCTGGTAAGTGAGGCAAAGAAACTTGTTGAGTTTTCATTTATAAACGAGTTAAACCTGCCATTGCAGCCCGATCCCATAAGTGTTGCAGTGACCCAGCACCTGGGAGAAGCTGAGTTGGCGAACCGTAAGATCCTTGGCGTGGACGATGTCACCCAAGACGAGCGCGGCCTGAGAAACCTAATTCACGCGGGCTGCCTCCGCACGGCAGTTAATTTGACTGGCAGACTATTGACAGTCTACGGCCAGGGCTATGGACGTGCCGGACAACCAGCCAAGCATTCACCCCACTCGCTGCAGCTGTGGTTCACTCGACTGGCCCTGCTGGCGAAGCTGGGCGAATTCGAACTGCTGCAGAAAGAGGCGGAACCCTTTGGACAGCTCACAGCACCCGATGTCTTCTACGACTTCTATCTCGAGATGTACAATGGAAAAAGTGGATCCATAGCGTGTTTCTCGTTCCGCCTGCTGCTCGCCGAGCTGCCCATTTACATGGGAAAGCCACACATAGCCCTGGACCGGCTGTCGGAGCTGCATGTGACCAGCACCGAGATCAAGCAGCACTTTATACAGCTGCAGAACAAAACCGCGGAGGAATTCTGGCAAAAGCGATGCGAGAGGGTCTTGCATTCGATTATAAACTGTGGTTTGATGGTAAGTCTGAAGGGCTGACATGAAATACACCTGGTAAAAGATTTAATTCTCGCTTTTAGATGAAGAAATTCAGTATGATTGATGATATAATGGATGGAACCCTCTTGAAACGCTCCAACCTGAGCAAGGATGACCAGCGTTCTCTGTACTCGGCCTGGGGTCGCATTTATCTGCAAATTGGTGACATATTTGGAGCTGAGCAAAAGTTTGCCGTCTCCCGGCGACTGCGAGAAATGTAAGTTGTCCAGGTATGAACTGACATTGGCTAACTCTACTTCACTTACAGGAACTCTGCGCCCGATCTGAGGGACCTTATGGACAAGGGCTTAATAGCAGTGGCCAAAAATGATTTTCCCGAAGCGTATTTGATATTTCAAAAGGCATTGCACTTGGACTCTGGCAATACGTTGATTCTGAACAACATGGGCGTGTGTCTACTATACGCGGGCAAGCTCAAGGATGCCATTAATCTGTATGAGCATGCCATTAACCAGAACCCCCAGAGATCCCTGAACGAGAGCCTGCTGGTTAACCTGTCGACGCTGTACGAGCTGGAGTCCAACAATTCAAAAGCGAAAAAGTTCAATTTGCTGCGATTGATTAACAGATACAAGCCGGATCTCAACATTAGCATAGAAATTTGCCTTAAATTACAGACAGTCAACTAAGTATAGTACTTATTATTTATTGTTACACATTCCACCATCCGTAGAATAAAATTCCAAAACAGAATAATATCTAGTATTTTTGAAGCCCATCCTTGGTTTTTCCCATCGATATGATAAAAATACCAAGCAATCGATACCTATCGCTCATATCGCTGCGCGTAGGCCATCTCAAATCAACTTCCCAGTATCGGTCGCTGAAAAAGAATTTGAGAAGAATATATTTACAATTTGCATAGAAAATCGCGGGAATATTTACGTATAGAATACGCCTAAATGTTTACAAACACGTAGCGAGTGTTTATCTGAATAGGATAGTTGGAAATAGGTGAGTTTTGTGGCATTTAAAGGCGTTTCAAAAGTACGACCACACGATGCCAGGCCAGGCAGCAGCAGGCGTATATAAAATGGAAAATATTGATGTGCTGCCTGTGGGTGCAAAAAAGAAAGTGTAGAGAAATTTTCGTTGCAGTTAGAATATTGTGTATTTTGACTATGCTCCTGTTTATGCTCCTCCTGCGAATGATTCAGATTAAACGATGTTCGATCCAAACCCAATTGAATGTTTTTTCCTTTAATTTTAGCAATTTTATTTTGTTTGGATGTGTATAAAAAAAAAGCGCGCCATTATTTTTGTGCCATGACGTAGCCATCGGGGCCACGAAACAAAGTGTAATTTTTTGTATTTTAGCTCATGTGCAATTGTTTACGGCGTGCATAATGCCTTTGCTTCATTGTGTGTGTGTGTGCAGCAAATAATTTTATATATTTTTTATTCTGCTTGTGGCGGTGCGCATACGCTAAGGTACACGCTCGTCAAAACATATACACATAACCCAGGCAAAAGGCAGAAAATCTCTATTCTTTTGCAATTTGTTTTGATTTCTCATTCGTGTGAGAGTTGTTGTCATTGGTTTTGCGCTCTCTTCGCCGTCGCTCTCTGGCTCTCTCGCTCATGCGCGCCGTCTCTCTCTGCGGACGGTTTTTGTTCTGTTCTGTTCGTGGGAGCGGGGAAATCAAAATCCGTTCTCTTATTTGTTGGTAGAATGTCGTGTGCCGTCGTTCCCAAATTAATTTAAATATTTTTTCACAACCTTCCCACGTTCCCCTGTCTAGCAACCGCCGCCCTGAGCGATCTCGCTTCGCTGAAAGTCTGGTTTCGACTGCCGTAACGGCAGTTATCGCCTCTTTGGTGGTTGTCGTTTCTTCGATTTCGACGTGCACTCATTTCATTATCTAGTGTTGTGTTGGCACGGCTTTTTTCTAGCTAGGTCTAGCTATTTTTTTTTTGTGTGGTTGTCGTGGGAATAAAAGCTATAGAGTATTTGCATATTTGAAGGAAAATTAAATATCAATTGTAGGAAACACTTTGAGAATATGAGAATTATAGTATTGTGAAAATATAAAATAGTTGTAAAATCACTTTTAAACTATCCTCGTACTCATGAGAATTCGAACTTAGACGTTTTTCCGTTTATTATTACAGATATAACCATGCACTTTGACAATATATTTCCTTCTTGAGATTTGTCACATTTCCCGCTAGTTTCTTACATCTAACACTGTCATCCCTGCTGATTTGATTTCATTTCTGCCTCCTCTCTCTTTAATGTACTCTCAATCTCTCTCTGTCAACTGCAACTGTAAACATATTATTTTTGTTTACCTCTCTCACAGATCCACAACATGGCAGCCAACAACAGCAATAGCAATATACACAATATGGGGCCGGGGACGGGTGCGGGACTGCCGCAATCCGTGATAGCCTCCACGGGTACCCCCCTGGGGCCGTCTCCGTCAGCCACCAGCAGTGCCTCACAGAGTGCCTGGGACCAGCTGACGGCGAGTGCCTCCAACAATATGTCGCCTTCGCCCACAGCTGGGGCGCCCACGGTGACGGGGCCGATTTTAAGCGATGCCCCTCCCTCCCTGGGGTCTGGTCACATGAGTGCCGGCAGCTCGCCAGTGGCCAGCTGCTCCTCCCCCTCAACGCCGACAAAGACGCACGCTCCATCGCCCCTGGAGAGCATGGCCCACACCCCGCAAGGGCCGCCCACGCTGGGTCCGGGTCCTGGAGGATACGGTGAGGAATTGACTGCCGAACTGGTGAATCAGGGCTGGCGCAAGTTCTGGTCCAAGCGGGAGAATCGTCCGTACTACTGGAACAAAGTGACAGGCGAATCGCTGTGGGAAATGCCCGGCACGAGACCATTCGATCCATTAACGGATCCCCTGGGTATTTGCCATGCTGGCGGAGCCACGTCAATTCCTCCACACATGCAGCAGCAACAGCAGCAGCACCACCATCATCTGAAGCGAAGGCCCTCTGATGACATGCACGTCCATCCGAATCAGCAGCATCAGCACCACGGGGGCGGTGGACCGCCGATGAAAAAGTTCGTCCTGGCCGGACCCTGGGACCTAGAGGTGTGCACCAATGCGGTTATTGTAGAGCGTCCGCCCACATTGCTGCCCCAGCCACACCCAGAGGTTGAGGCACTTAGAGCAGCACTAAGTATGAAACTGCTGAAGACCTACGAGGATTTGTGCATGAGGAGGGAGAACATCAAGGCGCCGAGGGACTCGTTCAATCGCTGGCTGATGGAGCGCAAGGTGATCGATACCGGATGCGATCCGCTGCTGCCCAGCAACTGCAAACCCGAGATATCAAGCGCCATGTACCGCGAGATCATGGCAGATATACCCATAAAGCTGGTGAAGCCCAAGTTCACAGGGGATGCCCGGAAGCAGCTCTCCCGTTATGCCGAGGCTGCTAAGCAGATCATTGAATCCAGATCAGCGCCGCCCGAGTCGAAGAAGGTGGTCAAGTGGAATGTGGAAGACACGTTCCAGTGGCTGCGGCGCACTGTGGGCGCCAGCTACGAGGATTTCCAGGATCGCTTGGCTCACTTGAAGCGTCAGTGCGAGCCGCATCTGGTGGAGACGGTCAAGAGTTCGGTGGAGACGCTTTGCGTGAAGATCTATCACATGTCCGCGGATCATTCCCGCAAGATACGAGAGCGACACCTGCAGCTGTTGAAGGATCATGGTATACCGGAGCCAACGCCTCCACCACCGCCGCCGCACCTGAAGAAGGTCTGGTGCTATCCCATTCAGTTTGCAGTGCCCTCGCCCCGCATGCCGGCCATCGAATATCTGCAGGATCGCGATCACATGATCATCAAGTATACGCCCGCAGCCATCAATCAGCCGGATGCCCAGTATATCAACCTCACCTATCTGCAGAAGCTGGAGCAGCTGTATCGCCACAACTGCTTCGACGACAAGAAGTTTGATCTGTTCATTGGTCGAGTGTGGTGCCTGCTGAAGCGCTACCAGACCTTCCTTGGCAACTCATTGAACTCATCGCAGGAAGCGGAGATCACCCAGGCGGCCTTGCCAGTGCCGGTGTTCGAGTGCCTTCATCGTCATTTCGGTGTCAGCTTTGAATGCTTTGCCTCGCCATTCAATTCCTATTTCCGGCAATATTGCTCCGCATTCGCGGACACGGATGCCTACTTTGGCTCCCGAGGGTGCGTCTCATTGAATTTATTTTCCACTATTTTATGGTATGTTAATTGACTGACTTTCACAGGCCCTTCCTGGAGTTTAAACCCGTGTCGGGATCCTTCCAAGTGAATCCTCCGCATTGTGAGGAATTGATTGAAGCTTCTTTGGTGCATATTGATAAACTGCTCACCGATACCATGGAACCGCTGAGGTAGGCTGCTTCCTACACTTATTCATCGTGCATATCTAACAATTTTTTTATATTTCCTCTTAGCTTCATTGTTTTTGTGCCCGAGTGGAAGAGCATATCCAGGCTGGACGAGAGCATGTACAAGCGCCGCTCAATGGTGGTCCTTGGCATGGCCCACGAGTACAGGCATGGATATCAGCATATGCTGCAGAAGTAAGCATCTAATTAGACTTGGAATGCAGCAGAACTATTCGTAATTATATTGTTTTCGTACCTAAACAGATCGGAAGTGCTTATCAAGTGCATGCAGGGCACCCAGGTGGTGTGGCTGCAGAACAGCGCCGGCTACGCCCGCTGGGGACCCAACGAGAATCGTGTGGAGGCATTGCGCGAGGCCTTCCGGCCGCAACGGGATCGTGAGCGTGAACGAATGGCAGTGGCTGCCGCCAACAGTCATCCCAGCCAGCAATCTCCTGCGGCCACGCCACCACCGTCTACATCCGGTGCGGCCACAGGAGTTGCATCAACGCCGACAACGTCCAGCGCATTAAACAATGTCAGCGCCAGCAATGCCACAGCCATTACAACGAGCGCCAGCAGCAACAACATCCCATCCCCAGCCTCATCTTCCATTCTGACGCCTCTTTCGCCGCACACACCCACTGGGAATCCGCCTCCGCAGTTCCCGCCAACCATAAGCAATACGAGCAACAGCAGCAATCTGGTGGCTGCCTCGCCCACAATGAGTGTACAAAGTGACTGCTCATCGCCCTCATCATCCACAATGTCGCTCTCCCCAGCACCGGCTTCCGGTGGCTATCCTGATGGCGGAACTTCGGCAACAGCGGCTGCTGTTAGCATTACGGCCACGGCCAGCACATCGTCGGCAGGCACTGCCTCAGCATTTGGCCAGGCCACCAGCATCAATAGCTCTGCCAGCACCCAGGCAGCCATCAATTCGGCTGTCTAGAAGGCAATGAAGGAAGACAGCAGACTGCTACTTCAATATCCGTATTGTTCTATTTTTTTCGAAACTATCTGTGCACTTTTGGGCTAAGTACCACAATGTTGTGTTTACTTCGATTAGCATAAATATTAGGGGGACATTGCATGAGGAAATCAATGAGTAATTGGGGGGGGGGGGCAGCACGGCTCCCACTGCCCAAATGCCATAGAATATTCTATCTTGTTATACACTTTTCTACCGCTATGCTATATCCTATTATCTACATTATACCTATTAATGTTTGATGAGTTTTCCATTTTAAATTTCTTGGCATTCGCGGCTGCTGGAATCCGAATCACCCCCCCCAGTACGCAATCCGTTCAGTGTTAGGGCAAACAAACAAGTTATACATTTTAAGTGTAAATATGTTATATTTAAGTTGAAATAGTTGCTAGATACCGGCCTGGCCGTCGTTTATCTTACAAGCATGAGCGAGAGTAGCATGCGTGTAGTCTACATACATAAATATATACCCCCAGAAAACAAGGGCCAAGCAGCTACCCGAAGAAAGGACTACGGTGCGCATACATAGTATGGGTAGTGTGGGTATGTGGGCGTGTTCTCCCATCCTTGCTTTGGGGGGTATACAAAATGGTTTTCCAATCCCAAAAACATAAAACAGAACGTAAAATAATAAACCAATACACCACACATATAAAAACCAACACTAAAGCCCCTAAAACAATCTTTTGTGAGACTATTAACATATTATAGGATACATTTACCTTAAAACAATTATTGCAAACAAACAAAAAATTATTTGAATACTGAAATATCGCATGTACCACATGGCGATAAGCATTAAAGTAAGTAGAGGAAACAGAATACGGAACTCGCAAGAGAACCCACATTTTGTAATGAAACTACACCTACGCACCCCGCACAATAAACGACAGAGCAAACATTTTGGTTTGATCCGAGTTTTCTGAGATCTCGAGAGAGTTTCGAATTTCCAAATGGAAACTCCCTGAAGGACTTTGAATGAGTCTAGGGCCAACCAAACCAAAACAAAAAACACTTCAACACACACAACTAAAGGGAATTTAGCCAATTTATAGAATGTAGCACTCGGCAAACAAATTTATAGAAATCAATTAACTATTAAGTCGAAATTTATTAACTAAAAAAACGAATATGACAGAACCCCCAGACACACACACACGTATCGTATCGTAAACACAAACAAAACAAAAACAAAAAGCATTTTTGCGCTTAATTAACAATCATTTTCTTTCGATTCAAATCTGTTATTATGTAAACCTTTTTTATTATTATTATTATTATATATTATATTATATAGACATCGTATCGCATAAGTGTGTGAGTGAGTGTGTAGACCTCTTGGATATGGATTAGCTGTTTAGAGAGGAGAGGAGTGTACTCGCATAAAGAAAAACTTAAATGGCTATAAACGCAAAAAAGGAAAAAAAAAACAACCAAAAAGTCTCAAAGGCATTCAAGGGGGGAAATTCAATATACAAACGTTGCAGCTAAATATTATATTATATAGCTATTCTATATAATTCTATATTGTTCATAATATGGCGAGCCTCTACATGATCTCCAGGCTGGAGTCGCTGTTCTTTGTGACCACCTCGGTTTCGGAGGAGCCTGAGCCGGAGCCAGCATCGTCGCCCTTCTCATTGTCATCCGACGGACTGTGCAGATGATGGTGGTGCGGCGAGCTGGCCAACTGCCAGGCGGGAATGGATGGCACTGTCACTGGGGCCACGGGTGAGGCGAACTGCTTGCGATTCAGCAGCAGACCCTTGATGGCATCCAAGTCGCTGCGGAAATTGCTAAACTCGCGATTCAGCTGCTGGGCATGATCCCTTTGCTGGCTGGTGATCAAGTCCTTGACCACAGAGATCTCCTTGTTGAGGTCCTCGGTGCGTGTCTCGACCTTTTTGTCAATGTCATCCAGAACCTCCTCGACGGGCTTCCTCTTCGGCTTGCCAAACAGATAGGGGGCAATGAATTTCTGTTCGGATAGGTTAGGATAAATAAATCAGCCATATGGCAATCAGAGATTCACTCCACTCACCTTCCAGAATAGGTATACCGCATAGATGACGCCACTAAACAAGGCCGCCGAATGCACTATCTCCCGAATGCGGCCGAAAACTGTTGGCTGTAGCTGCAGAGCCTGCACCTGAGAGCCAATATTGATAACCGTGTTGGGATTATTCGGATCTTGGGTAAAGACGCCGGCCCGCTCGCATGCCAACTGAATTTCGTGGGCCGTCAAACCTTTGGACCGTAGGAATTGTTGCTTCTGGATAAGCGTTGTGTGCCGCACTTTGGTGTTTTGTAGAAAGCTAACCGCTGTGGTTATCTTTTACATAAATGAATGGATTATATTAAAGATTAGAAAAAGTCAAAGTGCAATGAAAGGCGGGTGCAAGTTACCAGAGACTCACGAGGCGGCTCCAGCTCCTCGCTGGCACCGAAATCCTGCACCGATGTGCTGGTGGTGGCCATTATGGTTGTGTCCCCAGTATCCGTATTGTTTCTGGACATTTTAATATCTACTTTTAATTCAATTTTGTTGTTTTCTTTAGACCCTGGGACCCTCAAAATTCAGTCGCAATATTTATTGGGAAAGCTAACAGTGAAATAAGTGTAAGGTGGGGCACAAGCCAAAACTATTGCATGCCCTACCTTTTGTGACGTCACAAAACAAAGTCGAGTGATGCGCAGATTGGAATTAAAAACAAATTAACAATTAACTATAAATATGTGGATATACTGTTAATTATCAAAGATATTGGTCAAATCATGCAAACAAATGATCAAAGTTAAGCTTAATTTTGCATCACCTTCTCAATAAACGCAGAGAGAACCAACCCATGGTGAAATTACTAATAAGGTGACGGATTCACCACAGTGTCTTCTCATTCGAGGCCCACCAGCTTGTCAAACGTCGAAGAAAAAGGTTCCTTAAAGCACAAATTTTGTTCATTGTCTTCTTCTTCCTTTTCTTTGTTTGTTTTCTTATTTCTTATTTGTTTTGTTTATTTCCTTAATTTGTTTTGAATTTTTTCGTTTTATTTATTATAGAACATTTTTTCTTTGCTGTTAGCAGAAACAATAAAAGCAAAGAGTGAGAACTTTGAGAACTGAGAGAGCGTGGTGAATAAGCGGGTGGTCCTCCACTCAGCTGACGACGTCACCTTATTAGTAATTTCACCATGAACCAACCTATCGCTTCTGTAACGATACCAATATATCGCTCTTGCATCGAACGATTAATCTTATCCGCAAACCGCAGTACTTTTATTTTATTTTATTTTAATTCCTCAATGGAAGGAAACAAACGAATTTTTCCAACAATGGACACGCTGAAGGGCATGCTCAAGTCCTACGAGGCATGGGTGGCAAGTAATCCGGATGTGGTGGGTGACTTTGAGACCACAGCCAAATGGGTGTCGTACTTTATAGCAGGTTGTATTTGTGTACTCAAGATGGCCCTTCTGTGATTGTAACTGCTGATGTAACCCGTTTTACAGGTCGAATATCCTCCTCGAATGTTGTCTCTGAGCTGGTCTATACCCTGTCCAATATGCTGGTATTTTATAACGATCGGATCATCGACAGGGCCCGCAATGCCAAGGAGAATTCGGTGCTCCGGCTGCAGTCCAAACTCTGCTATCGTCTAAAGGTCACGCTGACGACGCTCGAGTACAGTGAGGTGTTCATCGAGATATCGGCGAGGCGGCTGTTCGGCCAGACCGGCAAGTGGCTGGTGATAGCGCTCATACAGGTCTTCAAAGCGGCAGGAAGACTTTTTATCTTGAGACATTCCACATCCGATATTATCACCTCGCCGCCGATTGCCTCGCTGAACAGAAGGGCGCTGGGCAAGCAGCGGAAAGGGGCGGGAGCGGAAGTGTCCCCTGCCAATGACGATGCCAATTTGATGCAATCCCAGCACTCCATAACCTTCCAACTGAAGCGTTCGGGTCGCATCATCCGCAAGGTGGAGGGTGCGCCGCCCATACAGTATCGCGACTTTAAGCTCCACGTGGAGAACACGGAGGCGGCCAAGACGCAAATACCACGCGAGCTGCTCACCGCCGAGTACCTGTACATATCGAAGCCGCTCATCCACTTGGCGGCCATGAGCCTGTTCGGGCACCGCAGCTGGAAGCAGTACATGGTGGCCCTGTCGATGGATCTCTACAGCATCCATCTGTATCGCCAGCGCAGGCATCTGATGTCCAAGCAACAGAAGCTGGAGCTGAGCAGGCGATGCATCAACCTCATGTATTTCCTCGTACGCTCCCCCTTCTACGAGAACTACACGCAGTCAAGGCTGGAAAGGCTGCTCGATTTGCTGGCACGCACCGTGCCCTTGGCCAAGATGGTGGCGGGACCGTTGAAGGACAACATTCCACAGTGGCAAAGCACGTACTTCTACCTCTGGTCCACTTAAGCAGCAGCCTGAGAACACTAGTATTCCACACCTCCATCCCTTAAGCTAAGTTTAAAGTTACAGGTGACGTATTGATAGATCGATCGCGAAATATTTGTTTTTTTGTATGGCTTTTAAATGATATATGGAACAATATTTTTACACATACAATATTAAAGGAATTGATTGTTTCACTTACATTCTAACTATACATAACAATTATTTGTAATTATAATTGGCTAAGAACACACGCACACACAGACTGGAGACTGCACACGCTCAGACCTCGGACGAATCAAAACTTCAGACTGAATCCCGGGCCCATGGCCAGCTGGCGTTGCGTGAGTCCTGCATGCAGCACAAAGCCCGTGCTGCTGGCCGAAGATGCTGCCACAGCGGCGGCAGTTGCTGCCGCAACGCCATGGCTCTTCTTGTTGCCCGTGATAATGCCCGAGGAGAGTTTATTGACCGCCGCAATGGGCTCGTCCCTGCCCAGCTGCTTGAACTGAGAACCACCCGAGGGTGGCTTTGGGGACGAGGCCTGTGCCTTGCGTGCGCCCAGCTCACTCTTGGCCGGCCACGTGGGGAACATGGATGGATCGATGGGTAGGGGTAGCTCCTTGAAGTAGGCATGCTTCAGGGCCGCATCAGCCGTCAGTCTTTGTTTGGGATCGTACGTCAGCAGGCCCTGCAGCAGCGACAATCCCAT